GCTTATGAGTCCTTGACAAACATCTAGTTCCGACCAAAGCTCTAAAGAAGTTCATATCTCGGGCATCCAAGTCTGATGCTCCGGAACATGTAAAGGCCAAGTTCATAAGTCAATTGGCTTGGTACATTGAAGTCAGAGAATGGTTGTTCCGGGCCTTCACCTTCATCAAGGAAGATGCAACATAAATGGATGGATTGCTAAGTTCACTTAGGGGGAGATTGTTGGAACATGAAAGTGAACCTCTAGCAATCCTAAGTCAGGTTCTGAAGTCCTTATGTTCCGGAGAGAATGTTCCGGAGTCAGTGGAGAAGAGTGGTCCGGAATCTGTCCGTACCAAATGAAGAGAAGATTAGAAGTAGAAGACATTCTGAAATGACTCCCATGTCCGAAATGGTTGCTGATCCGGAGTGAACTTATTTTGTCCTTGTTCATTTATTGTATTTGTACTTGTATTGATGTGACTTTTCATAGGACTTAGTCTTTTGTTGTATTTAGATAATCAGAATGTCAGAAACATTTCTATTGTCCAGTCCTATGTAAGTGCTCTAGTTAATTCGATGTAACCTTCACTCCTATTTATAGGAGTATTCAATACAAGTCAACAACGGATCTTTTCACTCACTTTGTCATTCTCATTAAGTTTATTTCAAACATTCTTCTTGTTCTTCATTTATTAGCTTTACCTTGATCAGTTATTCTCATTGTTCATTAAATGACTTGATCATTTGCTGAATTCGTTATCTAAGACTTGACTGGTCTTTCCACTCTCGACTTTAACATTTATTAGCAAGCAGACATTGATCTTAAGCATTAACTCAAGGTTTGAGTTCTCAAACCTTGTCCCTGCGCATCAGATAGATCTTGATATCACAAGGCCTCAAAGTAAAATCCGTTCCCATTCAATATATATGTTAGAAATGGTACATCAAGAAACTTGAAGAAATCCAAAGTTCAAAGTCAAGTTCAAGTCGAAATCAAATCATGTGAGCATTCTAAATCTGCAATAAGGGTATTAAAATTTTTATCTAGGTGGTGACTTCATTCGTGCTTCCTCGTTGCGAAATCTAATCATGTGAGAAAAAAAAGAGTGAAGTATTTTTAGTTCAAATATTTAAGTTTCATTTTATTTATTTCAGTTTTTATTCTAAATTTGTACGTTTTTCCATTTGTTTATAATGTTTACTCTTTTTCTTAGTTGAGGGCAAGTAAGGTTTAAGTTTGAGGAGATTTGATATATTCTATTTTATGCATATTTTTAGGATAGTTTTTATTAGCATTTAGCATCATATTATGTACATTTGCATCTCATTTGTTTAAATAATGTTCAACTCATGTTTTTTATTATAATTCCCGTACTACTAGCATTTTTGTGTTGTTTTCAGATATTTCGAGTGGAGCAGTATTTTGGGAGCAGTTGGATGCATATTTGGAGCCTAAATGGAGTTGGAACTGAAGAAGGATGCTAAGGACTAACATGGAGTACTTAAACTGAAGAATCGCGTCTGAAACAAGCCAGAAACTCAAATCTTCAATCACATTTTCAGTTTTTGCGATCGTATAAATGCATCGAAGTTTTGTAGGGCCGAAATAAGTCATCTGCAAGCCATCTAAGAAGAAAAACCAATATCTTCATTCACATAATGAATATCTACGATCACATATTTGACACGCAACCCCAAAAACTTTAGATATGGGATCGTACGTCATTCAAATGCAATTCTAGAAGAAATTCAGAAAACTACAATCGCATTTTTTGTCTTGAAGTCAAGAAGACATTGAAAATAACCTTGTACATCATTTAGGGGTAAATTTGGAAAAATCATATTTTCTGTGATCGCATATCTGACATTTGCGATCGCATTTTTTGTTTTCTTTCTACGGAAGCTTTCGTCTTGCATATAACTAAGACCCTCATTATTATATTAGAATGTAAGAGGACCCTAGATGACGAAAAACACTTCTGAAGTCGATTTCTGATTCCTTTCAGCGAATTCTGAAGATCTGAAGGTTACAAATCATCTCACATACTTAGTTTAGAATATTATTCAATTAATGTTTTTTTTTATTAGTTTAGATTCGTTTTTAGTCATGTCTGACTAAAACCCTAGTTTTCAGATCTGCATTAGACTAGTACTTTTAATGTGATTAGTTTTCAGATTTGATTTTCTTTATGTGCTTCTATCTAGATTTTACAGTTATAAACTTAATGAATGTTTGATTTTTAATTCGTATTAGTCTGATCACATAGCTAGGATTTTATCATTACAGTTAATTAGTTAATAGAATCTGTAATTGTTCTTGTCAATTGGTAATAAGTAACAAGTATCAGATTAGTTCTGTGTTTAGGATTGAACTCTAATATAAACTGAAAAATCATGTTTTTATGCTTCCAGACTTGTGAGAAGTATTGGGTATTGTTGGAAATTTTACACGGATCGTAAAGTTACTTTTCTGATTTAATTAAGAGCTTGTTTAATTGAACAGTAAAAAGGTAAGGTTAATTCAAAGAGCTTGTTTTGATTATTTAGGTAAAAGATATTATACTAGAACTTGTTAGTTTTTTTCAGTACCAACTTAAATATAATGCATTCTGAATAATCAGATATGAGCTGATTGCATGACTAGGAAAGTCGCAGCGGAACTGAATTCGTTTTTATTATTGATTTTCGTTTACTTTATTTTCACTGTAATTTTTAATTTTTAGTTTAATTAAAAAACCCTTTTATAATTTATGTTTTATTGACTAGAATGTGCCTGATGCAAAAAGGCATTGACCATTAGGCTGTGTCCCAGAGGATTCGATCTTTCTTTCATGTGTTATATTATTCGTGCAACCAACAATCAAATTTTATTTGCTTAATACGCCCGCGACAACGTGTTAACAAGATCCAAGTAACTGAGTAAAATAATTAGAGGTATATTCCCCTCCAAATCACAACAAAAACGTTTTATAACAACAAAGTGTTGAGTCTTGACTGGGGCTCTAAATTCACTATATATGGTGAAAAAGTTAGACTTGTGCTTCATAAGATAACTCACGTATAATGAGTGTAATCGTATATAAAAGAAACATAGTAAGTGGATCCTTCTTTAGAGGAAATTGGGGAGGGACCCCACACAACAGAATGCACAAGATCAAACGGAGCAATAAAGTAACTGACACTTTTATTAAATGGTAAAGAAATTTTTTTTACCTGTTTGCAACCACAACATTCAAAAATATCATAACTGTTTAAAAAACCTAAACCACCAGTGAAGGATAAAAATTGTAAACAAGAAGCTGACACATGTCGTAAACGTGAATGCCAAAGATAAAAGTCAGAAGACGAATCACTCAAACAAAAAGAAGATAAATCAACACTATTAGCAGCAACATCGGACACTTTGAGTTGATCCAAGACATATAATTATCCTAACTTATGGTTGGTCCTAATCATCTTTGGAACTGAGAATCAAGAACACAACAAAGAGAATCAGAAAAGAAAACACAATAACCAGATTTACACAACTGACTAACTGAGACAAGATTTAAAGCAAGTGTGTAAATATGATAGACATCATTAAGCGATACATAAGGAGTGACAACAGAAGCAACACCCTCTATAGGAATAGGTGTAGAACTAGCAGACATGAACGAAATGGATGATCCATAAGACAAAGAAACAAAGTATAACAAGTAAGCTGACATAAGATGAGATGCACCAGAATACATGAAGTATTGGATGAGAAAAGACCTAAATGAGATGTAGATGTAGACATGGTTGCATAATTATGAGCAAGGAACTGTGTAAACTGCTCAAGAACTCGAGGATCCAACGCAGAAGATGACGTGGTGGTAGCATGAATATTAGTTTCTACTGTAGGGTGAAATGATTGTTGAAACGATCAAGATGATCTATCTTATTGTTGCTTTTCCTTGTTCAATAATAATAGGCACTCAAACTTCCAATGATTCTACTAACTGCAATAAGCACATTCATCAAAATTAACTCGTCTCCAACAATCATAAACGACGGACCGAATACGGCTTTGATACCATGTAAACTTATGAACAAAATATTGCTAAGGTTTCATTATTGAAAATAAAATGTACAATTAAATAAGAAATCTAAGTAGGTTAAACAAGGCCATTGCCGAAAGTAGGAAAGAGTCTAATTAACGGTTCCAAATGAAATATATTATGCTTTAATGTCCACATTATAGTTTCAAATTAGACACTTCCCTAAAGCATAAGAAATAGCCCTTTTCTTCGAAAATGACTACACATTTTAAGAACTATATGTGGTCACTAATGAATCAAAACACGTTCAAAACTCTTGATATATGGTACACAATCATCCATGTAACACGACCAAACGATTTCTTTCAAAACATTCTTTAATTCCCCTGAGATTAATAATAACTCTGAGACTGAGAAAATGAAAACCAAAAACATGGCAACTTTATTTTATGTGGGGTAGAAGAAGCACTCGGCAGAACTAATGATTAACAAAATATATGGGTGTACCATTATTTATTTTGCTTTTATGGTTTACAAAACATAGAAAATAACACGTACCACATATATACATGATAATGCTATAGAAACTTATGTAGATTGCTGGTAGTTTGTAACAGAGATGGGTAACAATGCATGTTCTACAGTGCTGGATTCGTCTGCACATGTGCTTCCACTAAAATTCAGCATCAACTTTTGGTTTTATTTTTTGTAAAAGAATATTTTGTCTCCTTAACTAATACCCATGTAATTTTTTTGAACTTGTAGTAAAATATAACGAAATATTTATAATACGAATAAACGTTAAACACGGTGATATTCAAAGTGACCGAGGCTTCTTTAAAACGATTCAAATAATTTTGAGTTTAAATCTGAAGCTTGTTATTATGTAAACAATAAAACTCTAAGTGCGATACACATTGCTAGAATCTTCTGATGCAGATGTGGTAGGGCTATCTTTGCCGATTAACATAATTATCTGTCGACAGAACATAATATTCTCACTAGAAGTTATAACCTTTTGGGCTATATAAGGAGAGGTTCTACTATGAAACAGAAGTAGGTTTTCTTTCGGACTTCAATCCTCTTTCAGAAGACAAGGAGAAAGGAAAGAAAGATCATGGTAATAAATAGCATATGTAGCTAGCTACTAGACACTAATTCTTGGTTTTTTCAGAGTACAAACTTTCTTTTGATTATTTCTTTAGTTTCATTAATTACTTAATTTCTTTGTATCGTATGTGGTGATCAGGAGGGTAAGGTGGGTTTGACCGTAGTTGACGCTGTAGATTACAAGGGTTTACCTGCTGATAGGGCGAAAACTGGTGGTTGGGTGCCTGCTTCCCTCATCCTAGGTCAGTTCATCTTCCTATTAATTCTGTCATGCATTTGGTCACTTTATGTTTTTACAGTGAAAGTATGAAGTTTGAATATTGCATATATACTACCTCCGTAATATATATGTAAGTGGAAACGAATGGAAGGAGATCGATTCATATATATCTCAATGTTAGATACAGACATAACGTAAGCGATGTCAGTGATGAGTGCTTTTGTTTATCGTGCTCGTTGTTCTGCCATGCATGGGCCAGTTTTGGCTAGTGTGAAGTAAAGATAGGTTAAATCTCATTTCCTTTTCATTGATCACAATACAATATATATATATACAAGGCAATCCCGATAATTTAGGGATGTGATTATGATTTGGATAAATACAAATATATTGTACAACAAATTAATACAAAGGATGAGGTCATCTGCAATCTTGTCGCTCAACATATTGGTATAGATAGATAGATAGCAATGAACTTAATTCAACCAATTAAGATTCACATATCAATGTTTGGGCTTACTTTTGCAATCAAAAGTTCAAGATTAGGTTAATCTCTTTTATCTTCCACATTCTTCTGCTTGAGTTCTTTGTAGAAAGTGATGGTTCGTAGTGTCTATCCTCAAGAGAGCGATAGGCACTAAAGGGTGCCATATGACACATATAAATGAACTATACTTAAATTGGGTCTTTTGCGAGGGATAATTATCGTCGCCTAATGAGTAAAACTTGTCATCTAAAGACTAACATACACAAACACCAAGAACTTATATGGCTTTTCAGATCAAATCGAATTGACAAATTCAAATGTCACCAACAAACAAAAAATCATTTCGCCTACACATTAACTATTCCTTAACTTCTCCAAATACAACAGTAGATCGTGTCATGATGATAGACAATCTTTCTCATAATCAATCATCACTCATGTTTTCTTGATTCCTGGTCAAAACACGAGTCTTGTCATTTGACTTTTTGCTAAAATAACAGGAATCGAAATATGCGAGAGGCTTTCCACTATGGGAATTGCAGTAAACCTGGTGACATACTTGGGTGGAACCATGCATCTGTCCAGCTCAGCTTCAGCCAATGTCGTCACGGATTTTATGGGCACTTCTTTCCTATTGTGCCTTCTTGGTGGCTTTTTAGCTGACACTTTTCTTGGAAGATACAAAACTATTGTCATTTTTGCCTCTATTCAAACTCTTGTAAGTTGTTCTTATTCCATTACACTTCTACCACGTAGGATCATGACTAATTCGAAATCTTGATTCTTGATTACTGAATTGTTTAGGGTACGTGTGCGTTGGCATTGTCGACCAAGCTGCCACAGCTCAGGCCACCACCATGCCACTCTTTTGAAAACTGCAAACAAGCAAGTGGTTTACAAATGGGGATCTTGTATCTTGCTTTGTATCTTATAGCCGTTGGAACGGGTGGTCTGAAATCAAGTGTTTCGGGATTTGGAACAGACCAGTTTGACGAAAAGAATGAAGAGGAAAAGATCCAAATGGCATATTTCTTTAATAGGTTTTTCTTCTTTATAAGTTTGGGAACGTTAATGGCAGTTACAGTGCTCGTGTACATACAAGATGAAGTTGGTAGAAGTTGGGCTTACGGAATTTGTTCAGTCTCAATGTTCACTGCAATTTTGGTGATCTTGTCTGGGACTAAAAGGTATCGATACAAAAAAAGTGCAGGAAGTCCTATTGTTCAGATTTTCCAAGTGATTGTTGCTGCTATAAAGAAGAGAAAGATGGATCTTCCTTATGATTCAGGCTTGTTATACGAAAATTCGCCTGAGGTTTCAAGAATCCATCACACGAATCAGTTTCGGTATATTCCTTAAACTCACTAGCGTCACTATGTGTTTAATCTATTTAAATACGAAAGTTTGATGTTTTAATTTGCAAAGCAGAAAAAGGCCAAATTTTGCAGTGTGTAATATTCGATTGAGACATATTTTGTCGCTAATACTACTTTATTTTCTTGCATGTAGTTGCTTAGACAAGGCAGCAATAGTAGCAGAAGGTGACTTTGAGAAAAATTCTTCGAGTTCTTGGAATCCATGGAAGCTATGTACGGTGACAAGGGTGGAGGAAGTGAAGATGATGGTGAGGTTACTGCCAATATGGGCGACAACGATTCTTTTTTGGACTACTTATGCCCAAATGATTACCTTCTCCGTCGAGCAAGCTGCCACCATGAGAAGAACTGTCGGAGGTTTCCAAATCCCTGCCGGATCCCTCACTGTCTTCTTCGTCGCTGCAATCTTGCTCAGCTGCGCGGTGTACGATTCTCTGATTATCCCAATTTGGAAGAAATGGAAAGGAACACCGGGGTTCACTGATTTACAAAGAATTGGATTAGGTCTTGCCCTCTCAGCGCTAGGAATGGCGGCAGCGTCGTTGGGCGAGGTGAAAAGATTATCTGTGGCGAGGGGGCACCCCATTCAGACGACGGAGCCTCTTCCTATCAGCGTCTTCATCCTGATCCCACAGTTCTTCTTCGTTGGGTCCGGTGAGGCGTTTATTTACACCGGCCAGCTTGATTTTTTTATCACTAGATCACCAAAAGGGATGAAAACGATGAGCACTGGTCTGTTTCTAACAACGCTGTCACTAGGTTTTTTCTTGAGCAGTCTCTTGGTGACTGTGGTGAAGAATGTCACCGGAAACAATGGTGAAGGTGGGTGGCTCGCCAACAACATTAACAATGGAAGGCTTGATCTCTTCTATGGATTAGTGGCGGCTTTGAGCGGCTTAAATTTTGCAATTTATCTTGTATGTGCAGCTTGGTACAAGAAAGACAAGGGTAAATCGTCAGATGTGGTTGAAATGGAGAAGTGTTGACTATTGAAAGTGGTATCTTAAGATTTGAGTGCAGATTTTATTTTCTTGTTGGCAATGTACACAAAGAAAATACGAATAAAAAATGTGTTTTCCTAATGCGTTATTTACAAACTTATATTATACCTGACGTATCTGTGTGGGGTTTTATATGTTTTTTATTAGGCCTATTAAGAAAGTGATTAATACATATTATTGAATTAAAAATAATCGAAAAATACCATCTAATTTAACTAGAAGGGTATTTTAGTCAATTAACATAGATTTAATAAAGGAAGTTTGCATATTTTAGGGGATCATAGATTCTATTAATTTTAAAAATCTGATTTTACGAATTATTAGGTTTTTAATTCGGACATTCTGACAGAATATGTTTGAATATATTAAAAATAAAAAAAATTCTTGAACCATAAAATAATAAAAATATTCTTGAACATATTTTTCTTGTAGAATAACAAATTCTCGAACCAGCAACTGAAGAATTAAAACAAAAATTATATTAATTCTTATAGAATACATGTAACAATTGCTAAGAATTACATTTATTGTTAAAGAATAAAACTAAAAAACTTTCAAATCGGGAAAAAAAACATCAAAATCTAACAAATACACTAATTTATTCTAAAAGAATAATGTTGCTAAGAGACGTCGTTCAAATTTCGTGGTCCGTTCTTCAAGCATCAACTTCTGTCAAAATAAAACCAAATTGTAGTTTAGATTCCAACAGAATTGGAATTCATTATTCCATTCCAACAGAATTGGAATTCATGATTCCATTCTAACAGAATTGGAATTCATGATTCTTTTTATCTTCTTCATGTCAATCTCAAGAATTGTACCACACATTTATGTTTTCTTTCCCTTAGATCACAATGTACTCCATATCTATCAAAATTCACAACTATACAATAAGATCATCAAGATAATTGATTTTTTTTTATCTATTTAACTAGTAAAACCCAATCAAAAGAAACATACCCAATAAAAGAAGAGATCATCACCATTGTTCTTCCTTCTCTTTTCTGCCAAATGAAGCAACCAAAGCCTTCCCTGTTCTTCCTTCTCTTTTCTGGAGAAAGAAACTCTCTCTCACTTTATTCCTCTGTCCTTCCCTGCACTTTATTCCATTCAAAAGCAACAAGGTTTTAATTTTACTTGATTGTTTGTTCTAATTCATTCATAAGATGTACTTGTTCGAGGTACGTATCTAATAGCATACCTGAGATAGATCTATACATAATTTTAATCTAACTATAGTCCTCATATCTAATCCTCAATAACGATTGCAGAAGGACTAAATGAAAGACAGTATGTACTTATCTAATTGCTTTAACAAATCCACATTATCTAATTCCAGAAGAAATTCTGTCAATCCAAATTTCTGAAAACCCTAATTCCCAAAATTCAATTGAATCCCCAACGAAAAGCAGTGCATTAAACATAAATGTAATACAGACAAACGGGAACGACATCTCGAAACACAAACATCATATAATTACGACTGAACTAACTTGAATCAACAAAATCAAATAGGAAAAAAAAATGTACTTATAAACAAAGGGAGACAAACCATGTCTGAAGAAGTAGAAGAATATAAAGAAACCTGAACCTTCAGGCGGAATAGACAAAGCCGTTTGTCGAGAGCTTCAACAGCGTATTCTTCCGTCGACCCAATGCCACCGAAGCCCTACCTGTCGTCGGACCCTCTTCTGGTCTCACCCCTCGCTGTTAGAATCAGAAGAGAGTAAGTCGAGAGTTGCTAATCAACCCTTGCTGCCCTCGCTTCACCCTCCTCTCCATCCGATTCAGTCGATTAAACCACCTAAAACACCCCCTTAGAGATCAGCGATCTTCTTTGCCTTCCCCATTCGTGTGGCTACTGATCGGGCCAGAAAGAAAAGAAAGAAAACGTCGGTGATAGTCGGTCGACGTGCTGGAGTTGGAGATGGCGATGGCAAACAATTTTTGTAGAACTCAAGATCGATTTTGTAGTCCATTCTAATTTTGCAGATCGGGAACGAGATTTAAATTGGAGAGATTAGGTCAATACCATGATTATAGGGATTAATTTTGAAAGTTACAAAACAAATTACTAAATTACCCTTATTTATTTATTTAATTGTTTAATTTTTTGTTTAATTTTGATTGGCCCACATTTATGCATACAATAACACAATACTTACTTTAAACAAATGAACCTAGCTCTCTCTCTCTATGTATATATATATATATATATATATATATATATATATATATATATATATATATATATATATATATATATGAGTAAATTACATGGATGGTCATTATGGTTTAGTATAATTTGTGTGTTTGGTCCTTAGCTTATTTTTTTAACTCGAAAGGTCCCCACGGTTTGTTTTTGTAACGCACGTGGTCTCTGCCTTACCAAAAAAGACTATTTTGCCCTTGATTTTTAAATTTATTTAAATAAATACACCCCAAACCCCACCCCCTCAACTTACATTGTCTACCTCCTTATTTTTCCCTATTTAAATAATAGTGTTTTTAGGTAAGATAGGGACCAAGTGCGTAACAAAAACAAACAGTAGGGACCAAGCGCGTAATAAAAACAAACAGTAAGGACCTTTCAAGTTGAAAAAATAAGTTAGAGACCAAACACACAAATTACCCCAAACCATAGGGACCATTCGTGTAATTTACTATATATATATATATATATATATATATATATATATATATATATATATATATATATATATATAAATTCAACGTGATTAAGATAATTTTAAACCAAACTAATTAAACTAGTAACTTAGATGAAGAAAGTTGATGGAGAAGAAAGAAGATTTAGAGGGGATATAAAATATTTGATAACTTATGAAAATTCTATCACCAAATCTTTGCAATAGCATGATATTTATATTACAAAAATTACCTATCACATTTCATGTAAATAGTATGACATGCTAGCTTTCACCGATACACAAATTATTGGCTTCATTCACAATTATTTACAACACTCCTTTTGGATGAAACTATTTCAGATTTAGAGTTCAATTTTTAAGTACTTCCTCATTAAAAACCTTGCTAAAGAAAACCCAGTGGGAAAAAACTTTAGAGAAGGGAAAAATAGTGCAGTGTATAATTGAATCCCCTTCATTTAGACATCTGTTACATTATATTCTATGCACATGTCGCATTCCGATGTCATTGACATGTTTCCTAAGGATTGCAGTAGGAAGTGCTTTCGTAAAAAGGTCTGATGCATTGTTGTTGGTTTGAACATATTTGATTTCAACTTGATGGGCTTTTTTAAGCTCTTGAGTGTACTCAAAAAACTTTGGAGGTATATGTTTTGTCATGTCGCTCTTGGTATATCCTTCTTTCATTTGAGTGACACATGCTAAGTTATAGATTAAAGTTGAACTTGTATCCTTTCCAAGTCCACATGAAGTTAAAACCAGTTGTATCATCGATCTTAACCATGTACATTCTCTACTAGCTTCATTTAGTGCAATTATTTCAGCATGATTTGAGGAAGTGTCAACAAGCGTTTGCTTTTGAGAACACCGAGAAATTGCAGTACCTCCATTCATAAATATGTATCCAGTTTGAGATCTAGTTTTACGAGGGTCATACATATAATTTGCATCTGCATAACAAATCAAACCTTGTTTTGAATTGTTAGGATAAAATAATCCTAAATCACTAGTTCCTCGAAGGTATCGAAAAATATGTTTGATCTCATTCCAATGTCTTTTTGTTAAGGGTGAATTGAACCTTGCTAGCAAGTTTACTATGAACGAAATGCCAGGTCTAGTATAATTTGCTAGATACATAAGAGCCCCAATTGTATTAAGATATGGCACTTCTGGACCAAGGACTTCTTCATTTTCTTCACAGGGACGAAATGGATCTTTGTCAATATTTAATGATCTAACAACCACTGGAGTGCTTAAAGGATTAGCATTGTCCATATTGAAACGTTTCAAGACTTTTTCTATATAATTTGATTGGTGTACAAGTATTCCGTTAGATATATGCTAAATCTGCAAACCAATAAACTATTTGGTTTTTCCAAGATCTTTCATTTCAAATTTTTTTCTTTAAAAACCTAATCACTTCAAGGATTTCTTTATTCGTTCCGATGATGTTTAGATCATCAACATAGACTACTATGATCACATAACCAGATGTTGTTTTCTTAATAAATACACATGGACAAATAATGTTATTTTTATAACCTTTACTTGTCAAATAATCGCTTAAACGATTGAACCACCTGCGTCCAGATTGCTTTAAACCATAAAAAGATCTTTTGCAATTTTTATAGAATACATTTCTTTGGGTTTTGCACTTAATGCTTCAGGCATTTTAAAATTTTAGAAATTTTCATATAGATATCACTATCAAGTGATCCATACAAGTAAGTTGTAACAACATCCATAAGACGCATCTCTAAATTTTCAGAGACTATCATGTTGATTAAATATCTAAAACTGGTTGCATCCATTACCGATGAATAAGTTTCCTCATAATCAATTCCGGGTCTTTGAGAGAAACCTTGAGCAACAAGTCCGGCCTTGTATCTTACAATTTCATATTTTTCATTTCTTTTTCGTACGAAGATCCATCTATACCCTAATGGCTTAACAACTCCAGGTGTAAGGATAATGGTCCAAAAACCTTTCTCTTTTTAAGAGAATTTAATTCAACTTCATAGCCTCCTTCCATTTAGCCTAATCATTTCTGCTTTGACATTCAATGACAGATTGTGGTTCGGTATCATCATTCATAATATCACATACAACTTAATAAGAAAATATTGCACTTATATTGTTAGTTTCATTTTGGTCACATATTCTATTCGGTTGACCATAATTTAGCGCAGTATCCTCCTTTCCTGGGGGAATTTTGATAATTTGTGTTTCTCCATGAACACTTTCCTCATGATCTAGTGCATTTTATACTCTTCTTCTTTTTCGTGGGTTCTTATCCTTAGAACCAAATGATCTTCCATG